CCTTTGTCCCCCTGAAAACAGGAGATAAATCTTCCGTAGGAAGGTACCCTCCCCTGCACCAGGAGGGTAGAAGGCATTCTTATCACCAGAGATAGGGAATTCAGGGCTGAGAAGCCTGCACAAACCTTGTTACTTCTTCACTCATCAGTCACCCTAAACCCAAACCCCTTTGTTTTGTCAATTCTTCACAAATGTATTTGTTTCCTTGTCTCTTTAAAAGGTACGAAAGCTGCCTGCTTTGGTCACTTCTTTGAGTCACATATTTTTATCCTTGTACATATGAAATTTGTTTTTCTCCAATTAATCTGTCTTATGTCAACTTAATTATTAGATCAGCCAAAGAACTTGGAGGGGAAAAAGAGAAAAGTTTTCCTCTCCTACAGTTTCAAAGTTTGAGAAACAAAGGATTCACTTATCCCTGCATCAGCTGAAAAAGCCCCACACATTTGTATCCAGAACATCTTAGCTTTATACCAACAATGCACTGGGTAAAGCAAAACGATTTTAACTTTTTTGGGTTCTCATTCATTTCCTAATGTAACTTTTTTTTTTTTTTAAGCCATGCATCTGGGCAAACTGTACAGTGAAAAATCCACCACGAATTATCAGTTCCACTTTCCTATTTTTAGCAAACCTTTAGTATCTTAGAATTAGAGAAATCTAAATTGTGGGTTTTTTTTAAAACAAGGAAATTTTCAAAATTATAAGCCACCTATATATACTCAACTCTCCATCCAGGAAACCCAGGAAAAAAAACCAATTCATAATTTTTACAAGCATATTATGTTTATTTTCCTCAAAAGATTACCTCATTCCCTGGATTTTAAAAACTATCTGCCATCTGCCAAATTTGGCTGATTTCAGTCTCCAACAAATCTAAATGGTTACTGTTGTTGGTAAGGGGAAGTTGGTGCCTGGAGGAACTTCTATATTGATTACACAATGACCATCACTTATTAAGCACTTCTTAAACCCCACCCCCCATGATGCACAGCTAGGAGTTTGGCAAACATTATCCTATTTGTCCTCAAAAACAATCCTGTAGACCAGACACTACCATCCCAAAACCAGACATGGAAAATGAGGCAGGGATGATAAACAACTTGTCCAAGGTCACGGAACAGTATGTGGCGGAATCAAGACCAGTGAACAGTGAAGGTGGGAACTCAGAACTCTTACGGAGAATTAGGCCTGCATCATACACATGCCATCTGCACAAAAACTAAATGAAGAGCAGTGAGCCCCTATTGCAGGAAGATTCCCAAGGGAAAAAGCAGTATCCCAAACTGAAAAAGTACTTCCTAATGGCAGATCTAAAGATAAAGACATTTGTAAAGGCTTGGCAGTAGGAAAAGGTTTACTCAAGTATAGGGCTCCCTAACTTCCCTGGTCTTAAAATCCAATCTGGTTTAAGAGCACAGGGACTCTGTGTAACATTCTCCCAAATTCCACCAGTCTTAATAACCTCTATTTAAAAGAAACAGAAAGGACTTCCCTGGTGGCGCAGTGGTTGGGAATCCACCTGCCAGTGAGGGGAACCTGGGTTCGAACCCTGGTCCGGAAGGATCCCACATGCCGCGGAGCAACTAAGCCCCTGCGCCACAACTACTGAGCCTGCGCTCTAGAGCCCGCAAGCCACAGCTACGGAGCGCACGTGCCACAACTACTGAGCCTGCGAGCCTAGAGCTCGTGCTCCGAAAGGAGAGAAGTCACCTCAATGTGAAGCCGGCGCACCCCAACAAAAACCCAACGCAGCCAAAAGTATAAATAAAAATTTTAAATAAAGAAACAGAAGAGGGAACTAGGGCAGTGGGAAGAAGGGACCGCCCAGCCCTATCCTCCTTCTGGGGCAGCTGTCAGATAACACCTGGGGGAGACCACGCAATGGCTTGGGTTGAGAGCCCTAGGATTGGGCTGGGTCCCCGCCTTCCTAGTCCCATTCTTGGCCCTGTCAGCCACCTCTTTAACCAACCCATTACCTCCCCGGAGCAAAATTACACTGGAAGGATCTGTTTTAACAAGTAGAAGCCCATATTCACCAACTGGCTTTGCAATCTGAAATCTACAGCAAGGCTCCAACAGGGGAGCGGCAAGAGAATATGGTATAATTGTTCCAAACTACCGTTCTACGAAGTTGGGGAAGTTCAGGAGGCCATGGGGGGCAGGAGAGAAAAGACAAACATGCCACCCCTACGTTTTAAGAAGGAGAGGGAGCCTCCTCAACAAACCAGGTTTAAAACGTATATATTATTTTCAGAGATGAGCTTTCACGCTCTGACACTTGTGGGGAGTATCTCGGCTGCTCCTCCCCACTTGATGGGGAGCCAGTAGGTTCTGCGGCTCCCCAGCCCTGAGTGGAAAGCACTGTGGCCTAGAAATTAAGGTGACTTAGTTTTATTGCCTCCAGAAGGGTCCGCCTGCCGTCCCGGGGCAGCCGTCAGGACCCGCGCCCGCAGCCCTAGAGGAGTCCGCCCCGAGCAGCCCCCCACGTCCACCCTCCACTCCAGGTGTTTCGCAGAGGCCGGCTAGGCACGCTCCCGCAGCACCCACCCTTCCCCCTCCCCAGGTTTCGGTCAAGTAGCCGGGTTAATCATTCAACGCGGGCGGTGTGGAATATTTTTGTAGAGGTCAAAGCAAAAGGTTCTTTCTAAGTTTCACAGAAACCAGCCTTTAGGGACCCTGAGGTGGCATTGGCAGGCGGATGGGGCTGGGGAGCGACTGCTGGCGGCCCTGTAGCTCACAGAACACCTGATCTCCCCATGCGGCACGGCAGGCAGCGCAGTGCGAGGGTGGGGTGCGGGGTGTAACGCGAAATCCAGCAGGGCCCCCTCCCCAAAACGTCTGTGCAACCCAGATGAGGACGCCAGGCCTCAGACGCCCCTTCCCAACGCCTGCATCACCCCGACGCGCGCTCCCCCGGAAGTTGGGGTGCAGCGGGGAGGCGGAGATGTTCCCAGTTCCCGGGTCCCGGGGGGGGGGGGGGAATGTGGAGTGGGGCAGGAAGCTCAAAAGACAGGCTGCCGCGGGTTGCGTTATCCTCTTCCTCTAGGGTAAGGAAGGTGGCGGGGGGGCCGAGGGGAAGGACCGGGACGCCTAAACGCCGCAAGAGCCACCTAGAGACTGTTTCCTGCTCTGGGGCGCCAGTACGAAGCCGGAACCGGCGAGGAACGGGGCTGTGGAGGGAAAGAGGATGGGCCAGTGGAGGGGGAGCCGGGGACCAGAGAGGTAAGAGGGCGCAGAGCCTGCCTGGGGAGGAGGGAGGCGGCGGGAGTGCACACCCGCCCGGCCCTACCTTGTCCGGGAGCAGCTCCTGCTCAGCGGGGCGGGGGCGGGAGATAGCGGCTGCATCCACGTCCCGGCCGCTCCGCGCGGCTCAGCCCGGCGACCGCCGCCGCTCTCGCTCCATGCGTTGCGCCCGCGATGGGCGGCCGGGTGGTGTCCGCGGCAGGACGGCTCCGCCTCGGCTTGGCCCCGGCTCGGCTCAGCTCCGGCACTTGTTGCCGCCTCAGCCGCTGCGCCTCACTCCCGGCTCCGGCTCCGGCTCCCGGCGCCGCCGTCGCCGCCTCAGGGCTCCCCGGCCCGGGCCCGCCCCCGCCCCCGCCCCACGGGCCAATCAGGCCCGGCACCGCCCCTTACGTCACCGCCCCGCCCGGCCCGCCGCCTCGCGCCCCAAGTTCGGGGCAAGCACAGCTCCAGTTTGTCGGGCGGTGGACGCGCGGGACCGGCGCAGGCTGGTGCTCCTCTTGGCATCCGGGGACCCTCCGGGCCCTCACCTGGAAAGCAAAGGCTTAAACTGGGGGAAGGGAACCCCGAGAACTAGACCGTCGGGGGAAAAGGGCGGCTTGAAGTTCAAAAGAACTATTTTCCAACTCCAGTCTAACCTTAATCCCTCTTGTCGCCCCTCCTGCAGTACATCTGATGTTGGGAAACTAAGCACATGGCCTGGTGAGGACTCCAGTGGCGTCTTCTGGTCGGAGTCAGTTTGTGACGGGTCCTAGACCGAACCCCGGCCGCCAAGTGCTTGGGCAGATGTGTCTCCGCAAAACCCAGGGTTTCACCATGGAAGATGGGGGTAGCTAGGGGGAACCGGAGCCAAAATGGGACTTGACCATTGCTCTCTGCCCATCCAGTAGCTGCCGCCACCTCTTAGGTGCCCAAATGACACCTACTTGACACTGCCACGCCATCTTCGGTTTTATGAAGCCTCCCAGAACATGGGGAGAGAGGTTTTAGTTCTCATTGTGGTGTCCTGTAGAGGGTTTCCTCGAGGTTCCAGGCGAGTCTCGGGAAGCCAGAAACGCAAGATGCCCAGACGCTCGGCCTCGAACCCGCGCCGCGGCCCAAGGGACAGGGCGGATACCTAGGTGCAGCCTTAATGGCTGAACTGTGACATACATTCCCACCGCAGGATGGGGGCTTGGCGCTAACCACACCCAGCCGCGGGAATTCCGGGGACCACGACGCACCCTCCTATCCCAGCGCCCCCGCCGGCTCGCCAGAGCACTGCATTCTTAGGTGAGTCCAAGTTGCTGTTGACACAGCTTTGAGGGCCCCAGGTAAGCCTCGCACGACCGGATGGAGAGGTTGCCCTGGCCTGAAAGGCCCAGTGCAGTGCAGTCAGCTCGTTTCCCTTGCGCTCCGCCAGGAGGTAAGCCTGGCCAGAGGCGCACTTGAAAGCTCCCCCGTCTCTTGGTATTTATCTCTACACGAAGAAAGCAAGCCCCTTTAGATAATCAGACTAAGGAATTAAGAACACCACACCCTCAATTATTTGCATTTTTCAGAAGGCTTTCTGAGGCGGAATTAGTTGAAAGAGAAGGAATTGCTAAAGTAGTCATTTCAGGCACCTTTGAGCTCAGCCTACTCAACTATGGGCACTTAATCCAAACTCAGAGGGAAAAGGAAGAGCAGGTGGATGCACTGCTGGATGCACTGAGCCACGTGGGTGCGGTCCTCTAGAAACGAATTCTGAGTCAGATCTGGGAAAGTTTTGATTTGCAGCCTTCAGTCCTTTTTGCTTTTATGTTGATCACATGATTCTCCTAAGACTGGGATGTAAAGTCCAAACAGTCAGATTTTTGTGTACTCATAGAAAAACATCTGGAAGATACAGACAGGCTGTTAACCACCATTACCCCAGATGTGGGATTGGGGTTTCAGAAGGAGGGGAGATGAGTTTTATACCCTTATTGACTTTGAGGGTTTTTTCCAGTTATATTAACTCTCATAATTTAGAAAACTAATGAAACAGATTTAAAGAAATAAAGATATTAGAAATTCTTTTAAGAACTCTTCAGAGTGTATAAATTAATAAACAAATGAAGCCTGAGTCTTTCATTCTGTGTCAAAATAATTAATCCTGAGTCCGTGTTCCTTGGTTTAAATAAAAATATCTCTGGCAGCTCTTCTGATCTTTAAACGCTGTGAGGGGACAAGACTGACATCTGAAGATTTTTTTCTGCCATCAGATCAGTATATTGTTTCTACACATATGCCTTCCCTTTAAATGCACTCGCACTAGCCACAGACATACTTTCAGGGACTGCCAGCCAAGGGGTTTTAGTAAAGGAACTGCTACAATGTCAGCTGGCAACCAACAAGGAAATTAAGCTGTATCCTCTGCAACTGCCAAAAGCTGCCCAGGCCCTGAAATTAAAAAATAAGGGCATTCTCTTCATAGTGCCATTAATTAATGCAGCTGGGAGTGTATCTGTAAATGTTACACTGTGTCTTTGGGGGAATTACTCAATGCTGAATTCCACTATTCTGCTAAATTACTCCATGCTAAATGCACATTTGGCTGCAGTCTCTGCTCTTGGTCCATCATGAGTAGGTAAAGATGTATTGTTCATTTATTTAACAAATATGTGTTGACCACCTACTAGGTGCATGGCACAGGGCTAGGCACTGAAGTGGTGAAGAGTGTGTAGCAGACACACTCTTCCCTCTTGGAGCTCACAGTTTAGCTGGAGAGAAAGGAACTTAGCAATTAAATGCACTATCAATTGTATAATTACAGTTGTGATATTGGCCAAAGGGAGTGCAAGGTAGAGGGACCATTTGTCTGGGGAGTCCAAGGGGAGGTGACATTGAGCTCTGAAGGGTGAGCAGGATTTACTCAGGCAAAGAGGAGAGGCGAGTGGAAAAGAGTTCCTGGCAGGTTCACACTACGAAGGGGGGTGTGGTTGAGGAGGATGTTGGAGAGGTAGGCAGAGACTAGATCATCCAGGGTGTACTGTACCATTTTCAGTAAGATCACCCTGATTGCAATGTGAAGAATGAATAGGGAAGGGGGAGGAGGGGGTGGAGGGACAGTTAGGAAGCTGCTGCTGTAATATAAGGGAAAGGGCTGTTTGTCTAAGCAGTTGAGCAAATGGAGAGAAGTAGATACCAACAAGACCTGGTGATTGTTTGGCTAGGGAGGAATCAAGGAGAAGTCCCAGGTCTCTGCTTCTTCAACCAGATGGATGGTGGTGCCGTTTTCTGAGTTGGGGGACCCTCAGGGAAAGAGGATTGAGAAAACCTTGCCAAGGTTCACATTTGGTCAAGGTGGGTTTGAGATGCCTGTAAGATGTCCAAGTGGAGATGCTGAGTAGATGTTTGGCTGTAGGGTCTGGTTCTCTGTGGAGAGGCTGGGGATGAAGTAGCTGGTGTAAAGGCAGCAATAAAGTCCCGAGAGTGAGATGGTGTCCTAGGAGAGTATAGAGTTCTATCAGAAGAGGGCCTAGGACTGAGCCTGATGAGCCCTTATCTAAAGGCTGGCCAGAGGCAAACTATCTGGCAGAGGTGAAGGAGCAGCCAGAAAGGCAGGAAAAAAACAAAACCTAGGAGTGGGGTCATGGAGCCAGGGAAAGGATATGTTGTAAAGAGGCAGTAGCCAACAACACTCAAAATGGCGGAGAGACCCAACGGTGGAGTGAAGGGATGAAAGATAAACTGGAGTGGATTGAAAAGTGCGTGAGAAGTGGAGAAATGGAGAAAGGTACTGACTACAGGCAAATCTTGAAAGGGTTGACTGTGAAGGGTCAGAGATAGAAATAGCTGGAAAAGAATGTTTTGTCACCAGTGGGTTTATCTTAGTTTATATTTATTAATTTTAGGGTGGAATAAATTGAATGTGTTTAAATGCCGATGGGGAAGACCTTATAGAGAAGAGGAAGAGAAAGGTACAGCAGGGGAAGGATAATGGACAATAAACGTGGTTCCTGTGACCATGGGAGAGGATGGAACCAGAATCTGGGTGGAAAGGCTGACCTCATGCAGGAGGCCACCTCCTCTATTATAACAGCCAGGGCGCAGTTGGAGGTCAACTGAACCAGGCAGGTTTGGTATGGGACGTTGAATCCCTCCACCTGATGCCTTCCTCTTACTCTGGGGAGGAGACTGGGAGTAGGGCAAGAGAGATGAGGGATTTGAAGAGAATGGAGAATGTTTGACACAGTCATTGCAGAAGGTGAGAAGGTTGAGATGACCAGAGGTACGGCAGGATGGCAAGGCAGCATGGCAACCCTCCTAAGGTTGGTGGCTTGCACTTGTAAGGTGCCCTTTGGTCCTCCTCTGTGATTTCCTCCAGCAGAGCTCAGCTGTCTCTGCTCTGGTCCAGGCTCAGATGAAGGAATTGCTGGGCAGAGGAGCAAATTCCTTTTGCCAAGGAATTGAGAACCTCGGCAAAAGTGGGGTTGATATGATGCATGATCAGAGAGAAAGGACAGAAGTCGGTGGGCTGGAAGGGTCAAAGGGGTCAAAGCTCAGTCATGCTGGAAGGAGAGGGGGTTGAGTCAGAGATTTTGGATGCTTAAGTTTGTGGTTCAGGAGGTGGAGAAATTTAGGACAATGACAAAGCCAGGTTGTGATGGGGGAGAGTAGAGGAGAAAGTCACTGGAGAATATAAGGTCAAGAGACTGAGAGGCAGGGTACTGGGTGGGTCATCTGTGTGGTTAGTGAAGCCATCCAGGAGCATGTGGGCAAGAATTGGGGTCAGGGTCATGGTGTGAAGGCCACGGCGCCAGGAGCTAAAGTCTTAAGAGAGTGAGGAAGAGGGAGTGACCAGGAGTTCAGAAGATAGGAACTCCCAGTAAGGGGAGGGCACTGTGGGCTGATGGCAGGATAGAGGATGCGTGAGGGAATGACACTGAAAGCAGAAACAAGTGGCCCAGTCGGTTTTGCCCCAGTTGTCTCTATGAAGCCTGACCCAGGAGCTCTGCAAGCCAGGGCCACATCCCCCTGACTAACTTCTCCTCCCCAAGATTCCCATCAGGGAGAAAGGCATGTGGAGGCCTCCCTTCCTCCTCTCCCTCTTTTCCACCGGGGGCTTTTTTGTCCACCAAATGAACCCCTACGGGGCACTGGCTGATTGGCAGTCAATCAGGAATCTCAGGCTTGTCTCACCTCTGCTACATACCTTCTGTCTTCCTCAGGTGGGTTGTTGACCCCTTCTGTCTCGGCTTCATTGTCTGTAAAATGAGGACGCGAAAATACACACCCCTCTCAGGGCAATTGTAAGGAATAGAGGAGATAACTTAAGTAAAAACACTTTCTAATCTGCAAAGCACTGTAGGAATGCGAGTGATTTACCTGTTCAGAAGCCCCTCATATACACCCACATCTCTCCCAGGAGCCCTTCCCAAAAGACTGTGAGTCCCTGCTCCAGAGGAAGCTGTAATCTTGCCCCGGAGACAGGACAAACACACACAAAACAATTAGAGAGGAATGCACAGCTGTGTCTGATTAAGTGCTAAATTGTAAGGTGCAGACAATAAGAGCTCTGAGCTCAGACAAGGGAACAATTAGCCAGAGTTGGAAAAGGCTGGGAGGCTTCCTGGAGAAGGTGGGGTGGAAGGGGCCCAGACTGATCACTTATCCTGAGGAGAATATTTGCAAATATGCCCATTCCTTTGTGGCTGCAAAGATGTCAGTCTGACATGGGTCTACGAAAAGTTTCCAGGTCAAGCGTTTTGTCTTGGTTTCCCTGCTTCTGTTGTCACTCCTATAGCCTTGCTCCCCTCTCAGTCACAGACCTGTGCTCCACCTAGCTGGTTGGGCAGCCTGGGCTACACAAATGGATCCTATGTGCTTTGCCCTGGCCTTTCATGTTTGGGTCTCTCATGTCACCACCCATTTCCTGGTGAAACAGAGGTTGATCTTCAGCAAGTTTCCTGTGCCCTGTTTGGTGCCAGCACACACCTGGTATTTTTGCCCAGCCAGACTGTGGGCTTTTGAGCAAGGAGTCCTGGATGCCCCTCCTTCTGCCATCTGCCTCATGGCACCTGGTCAGCCTAGGGCACCTGCATGTCCATAGAACAAAAGCCCTGAGCCAGTTCCCACACCTGCCTCCTTTGCTTTTTACTGCCTTTGCCTCATTGTCCAGAAGCACCCAGCAACCTGCCATTCAGATACAGGCCCCACAGAGCTGCCCCCCGAGAGCCCAAGACCTGCAATGCCAGAGCTGACTTCCACCTCCTTTGTTATATTGAAGCCAACTCCTGCAGCCCTCTGGACACTGTTCAGAATGAGGGCCTTCCTCCTCAGTGGCTAGCCCCCATGGCCTGGTTGGTGCCTCTGCCCTGGACTTCCCTCCTCCCTTTACCACAGGCCTGGAAAAGATCCCAGCATGCCACAGAGCCAAGTGCACATGGGTAGCATCAGAAGCAAAAATCCCCAAATCTTATATATGCTGTGGACGAAGGTTTCTTCAAAAGGATAGCAGTGATTGGCTAGTCTGTTAATCAGTTCCAGTTGGGGCCATGAAAACAATAGCCACCTTCTTTCAATAGCTAAAATATTAATTTCTGATGGAAAGGGTGAAATTCTTAGAATTCTAGTCCAAATCCCTTGGAACTTACAACTGAGAAAAAGAAGGCCCCAAAAGTAGTTTTCTGGAGGCCAAACACCTGAAACTAGAGATAATATCTTAAATGTTGACAATTAAGTCACATGTTAAAAATCACCTGACTCCTAAAGCAGACCCTTTCTCCCAAGGTTACTTTGACTTTGCAACAGCAGAAAAACATAAAACCTCATTATCAGATGCAGATGCTAGAAACCAATGTCATGATTCCCAGGGGATTTGTTCCATAGCCCACAGAGTCCTGATGCAGGAAAAACTCAGAATTCCCAGGTGAGTAAAGTCTAGCTTGTTCATGCCATTGTAGTGATGTATAAGGTCAGCAATTTGAAGGGGCACAAGAGTCATCTCTATTAGGGGCATCATGTTGTTTAGGGAATGGAACTCTTGTTAAAGAGAAATGCAAAATCATATTCTCAATTATTATCAAACTCCAAAATTACATTCAAGAGGAGAGGCCCATAATTGCAGCATCAAGCATGAGACAGTGCCATTAATACGATTATCAGGGCATAAGCCTATTAGAGAACTTAATGCCTCTTTGCTGGCATCATCCTTTGTAAAGCTTCCCCGGGTCTGGAAGCTCTCTCAGTTGTAAACACAATTGTTACACAACAGTAATTTCCAAGGGTCATAACAAAGATCTGCTGGCCTTTACCAAAAGTCAAAGTTGCCTGGCTAAGAAGAATAGAGAACATTTCTGAAAATGAAAACTCACCTGCTAACTCTAGTGGGAGTTATTGAGAAAGGAAATACATCTAGCCCTGAGTCCTCTCCAGCCCTGCAGCAATTCAGTCATGGGTGTACCTGTCACCTGGAGATATGCATGTGCCACCTTAAATGGACATAGGAGCTTAAATTTGGGCTGCTGCTGGTAAAAAATCATGGTATGGAAGCCAACAAACCCAGGTTCAAATCCTACTTTCAGATCAAGCCCTGTGTGTCCTCATGGGTATAGTAACACCTCTCTCAAAGCGTTTCCAGGAAGGGAAATTAAGTCACTTATGACCAAGTGCCTGCAGACACTTTGTACTTAATAACTGTTTGTTTCTCCCTTGGCCTTGGCAGTGAGACCAAGTCCTCACCAGGACGAAGTTCAGGTAGTATCTTGGCATAGAATCCTGGGGATTATCAATCTTTGTCCTGGGAGCCCATAGGAGAAATTACTGTCTGTCTTCACTCCAAAAAGTTCAGACATCATCAATCATTATCACCATGTAGAATGGAGAGATCAATTGGCTGTCCCTGAAAGGAGCCACCTGATTTGTCTTTAGGAATCAGTGACTTATGAAGCTCATGTGGCAAATTGTCTCACAGTAAAACCACCACCAGGAGGGGCAGGGCCTCCTCCTTAAACATGACAGAGAAATCTGAGAGCAATGGACCCCATGGATAGTCTTAAAAGGGAAGCAGGCTACATGTAACAATGTGGGTGAATCTCAAAACCACATCTTTCATGTTGAATGAAAGAATTCATACACCAAAGAATATATATGACGTTCAAGAAGACATGAAAACTAATCTATGGTGGTAGAAATCAGAACACTAGTTGCCTTGGAGATGAGGAGAGAATTAACTGGAAAGAGGCTTGAAGGAACTTTCTGAGATGAGAGAAATGTTCCATCTGTTGACTGGAATGATGATTTCATGGGAGCATACCACTGTCAAAACTCATCACACTGAACACTTTGCATTTGTGAATTTTATTGGTTATAAATTAGACCTCAACTAGCAAAACAAAACAAAAAGGGCAGCAGCAGTGTTTAGGCAGAGGGGAGTACAGGCAAGTGAGAGAAAGAAGAGGGCTCCCCACCATCAGTCCCACTACGGTGCTGGGCAATTTCTCCAGCACCAAACTCTGGGGAAGCTATGAACTGACTTGTCAAAATAAACTACGGAGAGGATGCACTTTTCTAAAAATGAATACCCTATTCTGGGCCAAACATTAGGTTCAAGCCCTTATTCCTCTACAATTTGAAAACCTTTCCGTCACCATTTCCTTCTTGTCTCATCTAAAGCCATCCGAGAATGTGGTTTTCTAGAATCAGCCTCCTTTAGAAGTCACCCTCCCTCCACCCCCAGCTGCACATGCACATTATTGCATAACGTTAACTCTATAAACTCCATGCCCATAATGCCATAGAAGAAGGAAACAGAGTTTAATTGATCAACAAAAGTCAAATTAATGATCATCAGAAGTCAGAAAAAAGAGAGTTTGGGTCATCAAGAAACTTCCAAGAGAAAGAATCCTGACAAACAAACATTTCAAAAAGCAGAGGCCCCCAAAAGGTGGGAAAATGGAATGGGCAGTTGGAACCGGAACAAAACTCACAGATTGTAGAGCCAACTCCATCATCAAGTCCTTGTGTGACAAATCCCTAGTGTGATGTCAAAGGGGATTTATCGCAGATGACAAAAAGATCATAAGCAGGGTGGCTTCTGCTTCAGTTTGATTTCTCTGCTGTTCTCTTGGCTCTACCTTCTTCCCAGCTCTGTTCCTTTCTAAAAGCATCTCATTCAGATAGAAAAGGGTCTCTTCTTCCCCTTGTCTCTTTTTATGATTCAGGAAAATTTTCCTATGAGATTCCCCTTTGCAACACATTTGCTGGGATGGAGTCACATGACCCTTCCTAAGCCAATCACTGGCTAAGTCAATGGAACCACCTTGACTAGTTTAGACTAATTAAGGTTTACTCCTGAATCTTCACATGAAGAAGGTATGGACCCCAAAACACAGTGCTACCAGCCAGGACAAAGGGGGTGTTACAGGTAGGGTTTCCCTGGCCCTGCGTGTAGGAAGTTTATTGGGGAGTACTCTCAGCATCAACACCTGAAAGAAGTGAAGTAAGCCGGAGTGGACAAAGGGAGAAGTTGAGCTGCAATGAAATCACAGTAAAAACCTTAGCTGATCTTTCAGGGAGCTCTGGTGCTGGGCTGGCTCAGAGTTGTCCCAAATTGAGGTGAGAGAGCTAGGTCTTTTTACTCCTGTATCAATCAGACATTAGATGTGGGCTGCCCCTGGGAAGGGAGCATTACCTGGGGCAAGGCGGCTCTTTTCGGCTGAGGAAAAATCTCAGAGAGGGACTCAGCTGATGACTGCGGCTGTCAACCTTCCCAGGAGATGGGGAAATGAGTGCTTCAGTCTTGGAGGGGGGATCTGGGTGGCTCAACATGTCATCCACTGTAGGAGTGATGGATGTTGCATGGGCAATCCCTCAGATCTCCTAGAAACCAACTAGGAGTCCACGCTCATGTCTAGAGAAAGCATTATATGTCAGCCTTTACCGGAACCATCTCTGGAACCCAATTACCTCATTACCCTTCCACTTCCTTAGGAAGAGATGACAGGAGAGCCTCCAAGTGTCAGCTACCATCCTGGCTTTTAAAAGTGGGACAGCTGGGAGATGGCTATGTGGACTGAGTTTGGGTGGGACCCAAACCCTCAGACTTAAGAAACGTGATGCCCACAAGAATGAAAATCCACAGGAACAGTCTTGAACAAGCCAGGAGCCTGCTAAGCTCTGGCATCTGCTGAACTTCCCAAATTACACACATTAAGCTGTTCAGTTCCACATTTCTATAGTGTGCTTCCTGCCAAGCTTCCTAGCACAGTCTACACAATGGGAAAATCAAAACGAGCAGTTAGACCAATTACGGATACGACAGGTCAAACAAATAAGCCTTTATCTAGGACTTAAGCAGACACAGTCAACAAGGGTCTAATCCAAAAATTGAGATTTGGACAAAGAAAGGCTTTATAAAACAAAAAGGGGGGGGTGGGGTGGGAGTAGAGATATTTGCATGAATTTTTTCTCTGTCTCACTGAAAATACTAAAATAACATTTTATCCAGCCTCTCCATGCTGCCCTGTCCCCCCACCCCTAGCCTCTTGAACATTCTCTAGGTCTGTTACTAATCAGGCTGTAGAGCCAACTCACAGAGAAGTGTTAAGCTAGGGTATGAAAACAGTTGTCATTGAAAGAGCTGGATAGTTTACTTTGTTAATTGTTACGTATCTAGTTGAATGCCCAAGAATTAAAGCTATACACAGGAGTGTTTGTGTGTATATTCAGGAAGTACAGAGACTATGTGTTACAGAAACCCCAAGCATTTCAGCTAAGTGAGAAATTCTAGGTAGAGTAAGGGACTTGAATCTAATAATGCCATTGTTGTAGTCAGAAGCCAGATACGATAGGACTTTATTATCTTATTATTACTTTTAACAAGAAAAACTGTTTACAAGTTTCTGGTCACTCTCATTCCAGCAGGAGAGACCTCAAGTCTTGTGGATACTCATTGTTCTGTGGAAAGGGAAATGCAGAGAAGTTTTTGTTATCCTTTTTCCCCCTCTGGACTAACAAAGGCCACGCCTCTTCATACAGGTCCATAATCTCTGCAATTCTGAAGTCCATAAGTCTCTGGAAAATGAAAACTTTTTTTCATAGTGGCACTATAACTAACTTGGTTATTTTGGCAGTAAACCCTGATTGGAATTTATGGGGGGGTAGTTATAGTTTTCATTTATCCCATATTTCACTATAAATATGTTAATGTGTTTGATCACAGGTGCTGCTCCAGGCATATTAATATATCTGAATGAAGATATATATTTCAGGGAATTATCAGCATATAGATGGTATCTGAAGTCATGGGAATGGTTGACATGGTCCAGGGAATGAAAAGAGACTGAGAAGAGAAGAGGGCCGAGGACCAAATTTAGTGAATGGGCCTGAGGGAGGATCAGAAAGCCAGGAAGAAGTGAGAGAGGAAATGGAATCAGCTCTTTTGCCCTTTTTTTAATCCATTTCTGTTTCCCTCAAACTTTAAAAACTTAATTACAGATGTGAGATTACTAGGCAATAGTTAACCTAACCCCTGTAGCTTGTGCCCCATGCTTCACTAATTGGATAGCTTTTGCAAGTCCCTGATCACACAATGCCTGGCTTAACATGTAGATTCTTTTCTTAAATTAAAGAAGTAGAAATGAACAATAAGTAATTAATGGATGACTAGATCTTTTCCCCAGCTTCCCCTTCGGTAATCCTGCGAGCCAAGTGTGTGAACAAGATAGCATCTAAAGAAAGATCACAAGGAGTCAGGAAGTCTGCACCCGGTGAAAGATGACGAAGACAGTGACCCCCTCCCCAAATGATTAAGTGAGACTAGCTTCCCTTTTTTCCCTTTAAAAACTTTCATGGCCAAGCAGAATCTTGAGAGTTGGTTCTGGGTCATGAGTCCGCCTTCTCCGTAGGTTGCCAGCCTCCTGAATAAACCATCTTTCCTTTTCCAACCAACACTCTTCTCTTGAGTATTGGCTTTTGAGCAGCCAGCAGCCGCACCTGCGTTCAGTAACAGAAGGTGGAAAACAGGGTGTGGAGATGCAGCAGCCCAGGGAAGAGAAGGTTTCAGCGTGACAGATGGTTATCAGTGTTGGCTGCATGGAAGTCAGTGGAGGACCAGAAGGTAGCAAGGGGGTTTGCAGCCTTAGAGGTCTTGTCTCCTAGGAGGCTAAGAACACATCCTAAACGTATTTTATGTTTTTAAGAGTGCTGAACTCTGCTTTGTTTATTGTAGGTGCACATTAAAGACTTGTTAATTAATTGAATGTGTCAATTAAAGCCCTTGATCAGAGGGGCAAACCTGCTTTTGTGAGGTCTCATTTGGGATAAAAGGCTGGGAACACAACAGAAAGAGCATAGAGAAAGAGAATGGAAATGACTAAGAAGTGAGATGAGTTTGCTCACTGACATGAAGAGCTGGAAAGGAGAACATTTCGCTCCTTACTACATGGAAGAGCGGTGGGGCTGGGTAGCAGGAAACAGTAAAATTGGTAGGTCTTTGAAATGAAAGGAGTGAGAACCATGGTGGAAAGAGAAAGTAGATTAACCAAATAAACGTTTATTCTTAAACTATGGGTCAGGGCAATTTATAGAACCTTAGCGATAACCAAATCAACTATTATTTTACAAATGATAAACACTCAGAGAGGCTGAGAGACTCTCTTAAGGAAATAGCTAGTTACCCGCAAAGCCTGGATTCAAACTGAGGGCTCAGCCCCAGTCCAGTGCTAATTCCACTATAAACATAAAATCTCACCTCTGGGCCCCTCTTTCCATTTCCTGCCTGTCTTCCCACACTTTTACTAGTAAAAATCTGGGTAAAATGAACATCTGGGCAGCTACGATCATCTGCATAAAATCACAGGCACTGGGGCTAAAGCACTCTCAATGGGCAACAGGTACCATGATGGATTCAAAGGCCAGAGATGGAGGGATTTACTCATCTGCCTCTTCCAGAAAACTCTGGGAGGGAAGAGCCAAGCATGGCTTCAGAAATTCACCCTGGAAAATCATTCTTTAAATGTATTGGGTGTGTAGAAGAGTTTATTCTCTTTTCCAAATGGTATTTATTACTTTCATAATCAGAAAACATTCATTAAAAAAAAACAACTTTTTTTAAAATGAGAGAGTAGGCAGTGGGGAGAAAGAGTTAGGGTGAAACAGGCTTTTTGCCAGTGTGACCAGCAACCTCTTAGAATCAGGTTGTGCCAGATGAAAACCAGGCAAGGCTCAAGGGAAACCAATTTTACTTTCCTTTCCCTCTTTTTCTCTTCTGGTTTGGTTTGTAAGGTGAACTGTTGTGCAAGTCAGCAACTTGCATAGGGAAGACTATGAATGTATTTTCTTGACTTGGTGAGATAGGAGATCAGTTAAAGGGGGGAAAGGGAAAGAAAATGGACACTGGTGAGTGGGAGAAGCTGTGACTTTGGGGGAACCATTTCAGTGAAATACTATGTGAATGTCTGTTATAAGCAAGACCGGGGAGGATGAAACATGGTCCTTGCCCTCAAAACGTGTGACTGTTTACTGCTCTGTCCTTCAACCACCAGCACTGCCAGTACCTGATGGGCAAAAGGGGTTCAATCAACACCCCCTGAATGAAAGAATCAGATGTCCACTCATGAAAAGATGCAGCACATCCTTTTAGGTAGAAAAAAAACAAATCCCATACCATTTTCCTTGACTTTTTTGGATCCACCAGTCCCAACAGGTACCCTCTCTTTCAAGATGTCAGGAAAACCAGGCCTCAGGGTACTGATGGGCCAACATTTCTCTTCTCTTGGAATTCAACACTGCCTGGCTGGCCATTAATTTTGCCAGCTGCCCCTCAGAGTCACAGATATTGGGAGAAGACCCAGACCTTAGCAGAGTCTGCTCCAAGACTGCCAAGTCCTCATGTCTAAGGTCAAACATGCCATTCTGTCCCTAAGGAAACCCCAGAGACAGTTTCTCACCATTTAGTGGCAAGATCCAGGCTTGGCTGATGTACTATGATATTGGGGTCTAAAAGCTATTCTTATTTTGCTTCCAAAAGTCACTTTTGGATGCCAGAAAGGGAAGTTTTAACCTCTAAAGCCTGGAACACAACATTCCAAAACAGCTGGAAAGGCCTTGGAAACTTCTCAGATGAAGTTAATTAAAACCTTCCTCTGCCCCAAGGGTCAAATCCTGTGTTCATGGATAACTCTCAAGTTGTTGTCTAGCTTAATCTCCAGATAAGCAGGTCTCCCAAGGACTTGAGAGTTTGGTCTGGAAAGCTGTGTCCTGCAGAACAGGCCAGCTGTTCCTGCAAGGAGAACAGTTGTTTTCTGCCTCAGAGATTCTAGGCCAGAAATGTAAGGAGAGCCCACAGACGTTTCTGCTAGCAGCTTTTACTATGGTTCATACCCCCATTTTTCAGCCAAAGGAATTCTACTCCTCGAATCCACCCAGGAAGAAAACACCTCCATGATACATAGCTTTGAGTCCTATGCTTATCATCAGAAAGGCCAACTTCGCTCTGGGAAGAATCGATGGTGTCAGTCTCTCTGCACAATGTCAATAACTTGTATCACTGAAACGAAATAAGAGGGTTACCATAGCAGGAAGGCAGTGCCTCACTTGCTCTCCTGCTAATGTGAGACACTCCTTAGTGCAAGGATCTGAGCCTAGCCCTGGCTTGGCCACACACAGCTGGGAGGCATTTCAGGAGAAAGGGAGCCATTGTTCCCAACAGGATGCATGCTTTGCCAGCATGTCTCTTCATCAGCCTAACACAGGTCATCTTCTCTGCCTGTGGATCAGCAAAGTCCTTCTCAACAAATGTCAAATGTCTTTGTGTGTTAAAAGATCCCCAAGAACGGATGTGGTTGAGGTATCCAATTGTAACTTAAGGGTTATTTGCCCAGTCTGATTCAGTAAATATTGACTAAGTGGCTGACTTAAAAGAAACAATGCCTTTGCTACTGGAAAACCAATGTAAGACCAGGTCCCTGACCTCTGACCTCCAGGAGCTTATCGTGTGGTAGTAAGGGGCCCTGGGCCACAGTCAGCTGTGGGCTCTGCCACACCCAATGTCTCCTACAAAGGGGGATCCTCCCTTATCCAGAGCCCCCTGCTCAGAGAAATAGCACCAAGCTGTTCTATGTCCAGGAATGGCCACTAATTGTCCAGGACCAGGGGCCTACCCCACATGCCACCCCCAATAGGAAATGTAGTGGCCTTGAGTGGACTGGCATGGAAAAATGGCAAAACCTATGGGAGCTGGGTATATGTGGAGGAAGCAGAGCGCATATGCTTAGGTAGAAGCTGGGTCCTTAAAGGCCATGCCCTGGAGTGAAGAGCCTTTGACTTGGCTTTACCACTGTTCCTGCCTTTCCTAATGTCCAACTGTTTTCTTTTTTCTGGGCTCCTCTGTGTATGTAGCTTTCATGCCTTAGCACACACACCTACACATACACACCCCCATTGCCACCACTACTTATAGTAACAAGAGAAATTCTATTCCTGACCAAGAGGGAAGAGGAGTAAGAGAAGTCATGCGATCACCATGCTAGGAGGTGGAGGGCTTGTGTGATCTTAAACCTTCAGTCGAGCTGTAGTTTGGCCTCACCCAGCTGACACAGCCACAGGGATTGTAAGCTCCAGGAGGGCTGCCTTATTTGCTGCTGTATCTCCTGGCACAGTGCCTGCACAGTTGGTGATCAGTAATGCTGGCTGAATGAATGACTGAATAGACTGGGAACCAGAGAGATTAACGGAGGTTTAGCATTGGCTGTCTTTCGTGTGTCACAATCTCTCTCCCCGATGCTCCATGCCTGGGAGGCTCACCTACACTGACTACGTTCAAAGGCTTCCTTATCCCCTGACTTCCAGTGGGGTTCAGCCAAATGGGGAACCCTAGCCAGAGATCAGAGACAAGGAGGCAAGTGGTACCAGGGTATACATGCCCCCATGAAGGCTACATTCTTACAAGGAGGCCCCCTCCGTACTACCCCTCTGCCTCCCAATTCTCTCACTTCTTCAGGCCTTAGACATATAATGACTCCCAATCCAATGTTACCTGCCCAAGAAAACATCAATCCTTTATGGTTCCCCCACCAACCCTTGTAAATAATGCCTTTATTAAATGTTCCTCAAAGCACACAGTTTGAATGTAGCATCTGTTTCCTGCTGAGACCGCAAATAACAGAGGTTCCAAAAATCAAGTGTATATGCTTTTTGCTATCTGGTTTTCTCCATGTTCTAGTACATTCTGCTCAGCTCTATCAGCAAGCACTCATTGCTTCACAGAGGCAAGCTGGTTGGGAGGGTATTTGCCCAAACTGGACCAGTTTGAGGTGAGGGGGTGGGTGGCAGAAGGGAAGCAACAGAGTGTCCTGCCTCAATGCTAATAATAAATATACTGCATAAACAGTGAGGAAGACACCTAATTTGGTTCCTACCTTCCCAGCATGAAGTTAGGGTCAGACCTCCCATTCAGGAAGAAAGTTTTCCTTCTCTGATAAAATTAGTTTCTTTAGCTAAAAATTCTTTTTTTGAGTTATGTTTTATTGTACAACCACAAAATAATAATCAAAAAGGTTCTTTTGGTAAGAAGGCCATTGCTCTGCTCTAACCACACATTTAATTTACCCAAATTAATGCAGCAGAAGTTGAGTGGGGGTGGAATCTTCTTTTCTATGTCATTTATGTCTTTTTAATATTGATAAGCTCTCAAAAAGCAAGAGTTACTAAGCATATCAAGCTGTGCTCTTCCTTCAGCCTTTAGTGTGGAGTTAGGGAGAGTGGGTGGAAGCAGTAGGGATATTTTATTTTTATGGTAATTTAACCTCTCTGAACATACTAATAGGGAAAAGTACATTTTAAATTTTCTGAAAAGGAGATTAAAATGGTCTCAAGTGATCTGAAGCTTTCTCTCGCCTCTAAAAAAAATCTTTCCACAGCTCTCTGGTGCATATTATCTTGTCAACTTGGGAACTACTATTAATGCAGGTTTCCCACCAGGCAGATTCAACAGCAGTCTAAGATAGAAATGCCTGATTTCCTACCTAAGACTCAAATGGAAAAACACAGCATCTGAATTTACTTGTTCTGTTTTTTTTTCCCTCCCCCTCACTCCTTTTAAAAAAGGACTGGTTTCTTCAGTTCTCAGCCTTTTGGCAGCAGCCATTTAAAAGAAAGAATCACACGGTAATTATTAATTTTGCATGGGATCAACTCTGGCCTCAGCTTTCATCTGAGATGCAGTTACATGAAAAACAGACTGCGTTAATTTCATCCCCTCTGGGGTTGCTTGGCAACAAGGCCTTGTTCCATATCATCTTTTATTCTTGGCCCAGAGTGATCTCTTTGGGGCGTTGCTCATGCTAAGGCAATCATCATCCTGTTGCTGTCCCTTCTGAATGTGTCCCTATGGTCCTGATGGCACAGGGGGTTGGTGGCTTTGCTCCAGTCATACTAGCTGGGGTCTGTAAAAGCTCTGAGCTTGTCAGCACAGAGAATGAACTATGCTTGGAGAATTGGGGATTTAAACAATAGAGGTTAGACAGGAAAGAGAGTGAGGAAGCATGAGCTATGTCTAAAGCGATGCTGGAGGACGGTGGGGCAGAGATGGGGTAAATACTAATGGGATAAATACCGAAGTCTTTTTTTTTTAAATATTTATTTATTTACTTTTGGCTGCGTTGGGTCTTTGTTGCTGCGCGCGGGCTTTCTCTAGTTGTGGCGAGTGGGGGCTACTCTTCGCTGCGGTGAGAGGGCTTATCATTATGGTGGCTTCTCTTGTTGCAGAGCACCGGCTCTAGATGAGCGGGCTTCAGTAGTTGTGGCACGTGGACTCAGTAGTTGTGGCACATGGGCTTGGTTGCTCCACGGCATGTGGGATCTTCCTGGACCAGGGCTCGAACCCATGTCCCCTGCATTGGCAGGCGGATTCTTAACCACTGCGCCACGAGGGAAGTCCCTCAAGTCTTTTTTAAATTTAAAAAAAAAAAAAAAAAAGCATTACTATGTTCTGGTTGGGAAATCTTTCTAAGCTCTATTGTCAAATGATGAATGTGAGGTCCAGAACAGTTTTTTGGGTGGGAAAGAGAAGAAGGGGAGGTATAAAAATATTTTGTTTATTTTTGCATAAAGAAAAATATATGGATGGGCATTCCCTGGTGGCCGAGTGGTTGGAACTCCACGCTTTCACTGCTGAGGGCCTGGGTTCAATCCCTGATAGGGGAACTAAGACCCAACAAGCTGCATGGTGCAGCCAAAAAAACCCGGATGATTACGAGTGTTTGTGAGGGGAGAGAATGATGAGGTAGAAGGGCGGAGGCGAAAACAAGAGTTTTCACCTGTGTACCTCTTTATATTGTTTTGCTTTATAAACTAAAATAATGTTACTTAGTCCAAAAAAAATTTTTTTAATAAATATTAAAAAGTGTTAGCAATTCAGTGCAAGCTGTTAATGTTTGGAAGAGTTGGGAAAGTTGGGTGAAGAGTATTCGCAGTTCTTTGTACTATTTTTGCAACTTTCTGGTAAGTCTGGAATTATTTCAAAATTAAACTTAAAAGAAATTTTAAACAATATTAGCAACTCCAACGAATTTTCTAGCCTTTCCTTCCTGTTCAAACATCATTCTTGCTATCCTTCAGAGGCAGTCAATCTGCAATATATTGAACATTCTGAGTGACTTGGTAGGAGATGGGGATATCTTTGAGCATTTGAGCTGCAGAGAAGAGACCTCAGCTAGGAACATTAGCCTTAATCAGAGTGTGGTTCCATCCCTGTCCCAAATGGCTTTAGCTGTGGTCCCTAAAAATCTCAGAAATCTCAACCTCCTTAGGGACTGGTCTCTCTGAGTATGGAACTCCCATGATGAAAGCATCACTCTTCAATTCATGTAAGCCCTCAATTGTGCCTTCATGGCTTCACTGGACATCCTTCAGTATTTTTTCCTCTCTGCAGCCATCTCCTCATCTTTCAAATCACTCTGTATCTATCTTTCTCCACTAGACTAAGCTCCTTGAGGGTATGTGCAATGACTGAGCCATCACTACACACAGCTCCCCTGGCATAGCATAAGTACATACTTTTTTTAATGTTTTTATTTAAAATAAAAACTTGAAATAATTATAGATTCACATGAAGTTGCAAAAGAATATAAAGAGAAGCTATAAATGCCTATATTTAAAAAGAAAGAAAAATCTTAAATCAATAACCTAACTTTTCACCTGAAGTAACTAGAAAAAGAAGAGCAAACTAGAACCAAAGCAAGTAAAGGAAGGGAGGAAAAAAAGATTAGAAAGGAAATAAATGAAATAGAGACTAGAAAAACAATAGAGAAAATCAATAAAACCAAAAGTTGGTTCTTTGTAAAGATCAACAAAATTGACAAACTTTTAGCTAGATTGAAAAAGATAAAAGGAGAAAAGACTCAAATGAGTAAAATCAGCAACGAAAGACAGAACATGACTATCAACCTTACAAAAATAAAAAGGGCTATGGGGAAAACTATGAATAATTATATGCCAACAAATTAGAAAACAGAGATGAAACAGACAAATTCCTGGAAAGACAAAAGC